GCTTGTCCACTATTCGTTGATACTGATTAGGATGTTTGAGTAACTCTCCCCTTTGCCCATGAAGTTTATGATTGCCTTCTATAGGAGTAACTGTAGGTCCAGATTCCAACATCCCCATTTGTTGTAACAAGTCCAACACATATTTTATCCAAGAGATGAGTATCCCTTTTTTTAATGGTTTTCCGATGCCTCTATTGTTCTTCAATGCTTTTAAAAGTGGTATTTTCTCTCAAAATTTCAGTTTTTCTTGTTTTTTGAAAGCTTTGACACATAAAAAGAAGGTTTTATAGACGTTCCACATAATGTTGGTAATGGTCTCTTCTTCTTCCTTTTTTTTGTGCACTTTTTTTTATGGTTTTGTTATGCATTGGCATGCTTTGTTTGTTTTAAGAATATGAAATTCTATATTTTAAATTTCCCTATATCTTGATGAATATGAATTCTTGGTTGGGCATCTATGGATTTAGCATGCTTTCTTTTGTAGGCTTAAGAGATGACAAGGGAGGATCCAACATGGCCACATGCGGGGAAGTTTTACAAGAGAGGTAAGGGGGATTAAGAATGCACATAGGAGGAAGCCTACAAAGGGCATCGCCCATATTGGAGGCAATGCGCGGCCTTGTCCAAGTGTGCTTGCACAAGTGACGAAGCAGATGTAGTGATCTATCTGAACTGCAAAGAGAAAGAAGGTACATAGATAGAGGGTAGTTGAGGAGATAGGGCATGAGTATTATACACCTTCTCAAGAGGAATAAGAGGCACAGTCAAGAATGGGGCTGGGGTCGTGGTGGTAGCATGCCCACACCCAGTTACCACATCGTGGTATCCATTCCTACCGCCTGACACCCCCAATTAACACCTTCAAAATGTAACTCCCCTATTTATTGAAAAAACGGGTAGGGGCCAGTCTTCCCCACTGAATTACCCAAAAAAAAATAAGAGGCACAGTTTGAGACCAAAATGGAGATGCCAAGAAGCATCAGTGTAGAAGAGCTCTGTTAAAGCAAGGAAGTTACTAAGAATAAGAGGAAGTGTTTGGTTTGGAGCCCATACAACGCTCATTGTATAGACCAAATGTTAGAAGCCAATCTTGAACTGAAGGAAGTGAAGAAGAAGATTACAAAATTCACAGACAATCACTCCTTGATCCTTAATGAGGCAACATAGTCACAGGGAGCTCGTAAGGCATGTTATCAATAGGCTTGCAAACCTAATACTTGATATTGGAGTTAATATCGAAGTAGTGAATGGGATTAAAGAAGATGGTGGCATCAGATTAATGCATCCCCACACAAACCTCAAGGACTCGGACTAGAAGAGAGGTTGACAAAAACATTAGTAATCACATATTTTGGGATAAGTGCAATGAAATTGTTGCTGCCAGCCTACCACTGCCCCACTCATACGCGTCTTAAGGATTGTCGATTTGGATGTCAAGCCTATAATGAGATTCTTATATGCAGCACTAGATAGTGAAAAGTTGGCCATACAAGCCCAGTGCAAATTCTACAATAAAGTATGGAGGGTCATTTGATTAGAAGTGGGATGGTACACTACACTACCATATCCATGCAACAAGTATCTCTCAATTTCAAGCTTTAATTTATATTCATGTCTTAACTTGTGATTTGTGTTAATCTATTTGAACCGTCTAACGATGTTTTCGGAGCGTTCAGCTTTTTCTTTAACCCAGCATATTACCTACCAACTTGGTCAGAGTGAGCACTAAGATCATGGTAGGGGTGAAGTACTACACGAAAAGGAGAGCCAAATAAGGATGTCCAAGTTGAAGCCTTGAAAGGGGTAAGCTTTTGTTTAAACTTTAAATTTGTGATACAATGTCTATCATAGCTTGTTGTTGTTTGAAAATTGAAAATGTGTACCTTGTAACTTGCTTTTAGTTTTTATATAAATGTATATAGAAAATTAGCATCCAATCTTCCGAAAAGAGGTCCAGCACACTTGGAACCAGGTTGGGATTCAAATTCCCCAAGTCATAAATCCGATTATAACTAGTATGGGTGATTATACTCCTATTTGACTAATTTTTCCTCCACATTTCAGTGAAATGGTGGGAAACACATGGAGGCTACAACCCTAGCTTACAGAGATCACAATCAAGATCCTCAGCAGAACTTGTTCCATCACAATTTGTGACAGAAATTGGAGTACATTATAGTGGACCCATGCTCCAAGAAAAACAGGTTGTGACCGAGAGGTTCCTCAAGATAGAATGAGAGGTTCCTCAAGCTAGTCTATGTGTAGTACGACTGAACATGAGGAAGAGGCAAAAAAGGAGAGAGAAGGAGGATTACAGTCCTATCAACTTGGATTACATATTTGATGCAGTAAAATAAAGAAAAGAGGCAAAAACAACCCAATTTAAAGGACGAGGTTTGTATAAGGTGTCAACCCAATACTATTGAAGTATCGAGCAAATAATATCGAAAGATGTAGTTTCGATGCCATAAAACTTTCTCATGCCATGAAAATGTATTGTTACCACTAATTATTAAATTTCAAGCTCCAAAGAGATGCGAGTAGATCTATAAACACTTTAAATTTTGAAAATAGACCGTCTAGATAATGCGTTACAAAATGCATTATTTATATCCCATTCTTTCGCTCTTGTGCTCAGCTATTCCCACCATATCAAAGCATTTTTCTTCAACTTAATGGCAATAATTTTTAGCCTTTTTATTCTCTGACACATAATCAAGGAACCTTTTTATGGTGTTCAACCAATCTATAAAGTCATCGGGCTTCGACTTTCCTTCAAAATCAAGAGTATCTATTTTTAGATCTATGAACTTTGAGTGCTGCCTATTGCTCCGATCATATTTTTCTTCACTCCACTTATCCCGCAGATCACGATCGTGAAAAAGGTTGTACTCAACATCATCTTGGACGAACAAAACTTCATCTCACCTATGATTGATGCTTACAAACCGCCTAGTAAGTTCTTGAAATTGTTGCCTCAGATCCTCTATCTCTTGATCCCACTCATCACAAGGTGGATCCAGATGGATGCCCCCGCCTCTACCTCTTCTTAATACCATCGGTTCACTAAAATCACCAACCCTAGTCAGAGAACCAACAAGGCCTAGCTGAAGCCAGCAAGTTCTACACTGATTTGGCAAAACATAGCCTAAAATCAACAAACCATAGACTTGGTTGTAGATTTCCAGCTGTGTTGTTTATGAAAACATAGGCTCCGTTACCAATTTGATGCAGGAAAATAAAGAAAAGAGGCAAAACCAATTCAATAAACTATTAAAACAGGCTAGATTTGAGTGAATCTAGCTTTCCTTGCACAAACAAGTGACTCCAAAACTTATATAGGGCTTGTTATTACTGTTTGTGATCCAAAAGTGTTAGAAACCCCAACACACCATATGCCCTTTTATTACATTATAATTAAAAAGATTAAAAGCACCCCACTTAAGTTATAACATTATAAAAATCCCCCATAAGTCCCTTCACTTAAATTAAAACGTAGGTCCCTAAACTGCTCCTAACTTTAATTAAAACACTGAAAATCACTAAGAGACTGTGGAAAAACAGCAATAAAATAAAAATAAACTCATTCAAAAAGTCAGCCTTCCCCTCTTGTTTCTACTTGCGACCTTGGGATGTGCATCATCATACAGGGTCCTCAAAGGATGAACTGATTGGGTCAAAAGGCCTATGAGAATTGTTGACTAGTTGAAAGACTATCCAGTGCATCAATATTTGAAGAGGATACAACAAAGGAACAGCTAACGGAGCGAAAAGAACCAACAATCAACAAGAGGGTCCTTGAAGATAAAGTTGCTAATGAACCAGATGACATCCAACAAAAAGAGGTGGGGGCGGGGGGGGGGGGCGGGGTGGCAAAGGAGACTCAATAGACGGTAGGATGAGAAGGGCCCAGATGCCGAGGGCTATTGTGGACATGAGGAAGAGGCGAGCCTGAGATCGTTGGAGGCCAAGCCAACATTGTGGGAGACGGCGCCAAAGTGGGGACTGTTGAGCAACCGAGCCATGGTGGCCGTAGACCATCTTAGGGACTTTGGGTTGGGGACCTGAGAGATAGGTACGGCTCTAGCGATTAAAGATACTTGGGAGAGATCCTCTTGCACACACGGAGTGTCCTTTTCATTTCCACAATGTTCCTTTTGGTACAAGAGTGTAAAATCCCTATATTGGTTTTATCAACTCTTTGAGACTGTAAACATATCTGAAATTTTGAATTTGTGCCTATTAGACATTTGTATTGTAGAGAAAATCATTAAATCTTTACTATTCAATGTGAAGTGGAAGTTGATGGCATTCATTTGAATTAGCACTAGATTAGTAGCAAATTTTAAGTTACAACGAACACAACCAAAGAACATCAAATTAGTTCCCTTTCTATTTTTTATATACTTTCCCCATTGTCTATCATTTTTATAATTTTTATCCATTTTTTTTTCCAATTTTTGCTACTTTTCCAAAAAAAATTCGGATACTTTGAGACTTTATTAGGACCTTTTCAAATTCAAGGAGGACTAGGAGCATCGACTCGGACTTGCCTGAATAACTCGGTCAAGTCAAGGGCCGAGTTCTATGACCAAGCCCTGCATTAACTGCCATAACCTGAAGATCAATGATGCCACACTTTTTGTCCAAAGACAATATGATGGTACCAAGAAACAAACTAAAGGTATTAAAGCCTTACGCATGCATTTGAGGTATAAAGCATAACATAGGCGTTAAAGAGCACATAAGTATGGAGTGAGAAGTACGAATGACAATAATGTTAATGAGGGTTTAGATATCGTGCGTGCAAATACATGCCCATATATTAATCATTACAATTTAACTTTTTTTTGTTTTTGAACAAACAATTTTATATTCCCAACTGTCATAATGCAAATTATGGATCAACATGAAGACTTTAACTTTGCTATGCAAGCACATTTCCTCCAGATCATGCATTATTGTATGAGAATTTTCAGATGCAGCTAGCACGCCCTTACCAATAAAAATGCCATGTGGCTCCGTGTAATTATCATCTTTCCACAAGATCGTAATCTTGTTCCCGATAACTACAGCAATGCGTACACCTTTAGAAGACACAATGAGAAATTTCTCTTTCTTCAATGGTTTCTGTTGCATATAATTATCCCACTTCCCTTTGAGTTGTTTTATGCCTTCAATCCACAAGAAACATATAAGCAATATTCTCTAAATACATTATTATATAAATAACTCATTATTATATAAATCACTTTTATAAAAAATATATCATTGAAATTCATCAAGAAAAGTAAGAACAAAATAAATTGCAATCATCAGCTATACACTTTACAAAGGGCGACCTCATCAATTCTTTCAAAACTAATAAACCAAAGAGAAAATCCACGCCTTTAACTTCAACATGAAAAATACTTAGCATCTATGTTTTCCAGTTCACCATTCAGAGTCCCCCTTTCTGTTTAATTGGAGCATTCATCATCACAAAGTTATCCTTGAGGTCAAAAGCTAATAAATTGGTAGAATTGAAAGCTCAAAGCAAACCTAAAATCCCATTAGAAAAAAACTGAGCCAAAAATCATTCCTTATTCAGTTTAGCTAGAAATTTCATTATTCACCAATCTAACCTTGGAGATATTGCTTTAAATACTCTTCAATAATCAATTCATGCTGAAACCTCACAACATAACCAAACTGCCATTAAAAAATTTTAAACTAAAGACTCACCTTGAAATGGGAGAAATGACAAGATCCCCTTTTTAGAATTCTCATCCTGCTACATCAAAGACAGTAGAAAAGAAACAAACTTTAAGAAAACCAGCAAGATGATTCGATTCAACACAAACGAGATAAAGAAAAAGCGAATTCAATCAAGTGCGTCGAATTCCCCAAGCCTTAGAAAAACAAAAAAAATACATGAGAAAAAAGAGGATTAAGCACCACCTGTTCATGAGAGGGATCTCGTGCAGGAGGTGAGCTCGCATGGTAGCAGGTCTCATACAGGATCCGACTGGGGCTACGAAGACCTTCTTCTCCCATTGCATATATTTAGGTTTACAGAGACTCTATATCCGGCAATAACATTTAGTCTGCCTGTGATAACATACTCCGCAGTTTCCGCGGACAGGGAATGGAGAGAGAGAGAGAGAGGGGGATAGTTGCAGAGGGAGTCGAGGGATAGTTGCAGAGGGAGTCGATTTATTGGGGGCACGAGGCGCTTCAAATGGGAGGGGGAATTGAGAAAAGTACTTTCACTGTTGTTGGAAGGCCTTGTAATGGCGTTTTGTATAAGGTGTGAACTTCAAACAGTTCTCATTAAAAAATGGGAATAATTGTGTATTTTAAGGAAAAGCTCATGTGGAGCGCTTTTGGAAGATGTTGTTTTGATGGCTAAATATCTTTAAATCGATAATCTAGACGTCTAGATGCATGGCATGGAAAAAAAATAGATTTTAAGTTTGAAAATTAGTATATTTTGTAAGGTATTTTTAAATCATTAATTTTAAAAAATTTTAAGTTTTTGTTGATCGGCAATCAACATTATTTTTGAAACTTATAAATAAATATAAAAATATATTTTAAAGCTATCACAAAAATTTACAGTATTAAAATCACATTTTTCAAAAAGCTCTAATTTGATATTTTAGAGCCTAGGCTCTCTACAAACCGCTTCTCTTCAGAGAAAAAGAAAGGGTACTGGGAAGAGAAAGGGTGCGAGAAATAGAGGGGAAGAGCTCTATACAAACCGCATCTCTTTAGAGAAATAAAAAGGGTAGTGGGACGAGAGAGGGTGAGAGAAATAGAGGGGAAGAGAGAGATTGTTCTTTGCTTGTGAGAAAGTGAGGCGTTCCTGGGGAGCATGAGTTAACCAAACGGGGCGATGCTTGAAGAGAGAGAGAGGCTGGTTGTTCGGGAGGGAAGAGCGAGAGAGGTAGAGAGAGAAAACTATAGAGAGAGGAAATGAGAGGAGAAAAGTACACGTAGTGGTGTTCCGAGAAATAAGAGTACGACTAATGTTGTTAGATTAGCTTAGATGTCTTTTTCGGATCGGTGAAAAAAATAAAACAATTTGGTGTTTCGGTCGATTCGGGAGAAGACTTTGGATTTTTTTTTTAATTTAATATAAATAAATTAGATATTTATATATATAATATATAAATATTACAAAAAAATAAAAAAGATAAATAAATAAATTAGATATTTATATACATAATATATAAAAATAATGAAAAAATTTAAAATTAAAAAATATATAAAAATTAAAAAATACTTTTATATAGGTATTTCTTTTCTAACCAAAACCGCCCGAAGCAAACCTGAAGAAACCCGAAGCAGCCCGAACGCTCGAATCGAACCGAAGCGGTAACACTACATTTCTCTTAGCTTCGGTTTATGCTTAAAATCCGAAAGCTTCAACTTCTTCGGCCAAAGCGATGCGAATTTGATAACATTGGTACGACGGGCTTGAAGTGGTGAATAGGTATTACCCATTGGGTAAGAGGGGAGATGCGGTCTTGAGATGGTAACTTCAATGTTAAGATCTAAAATCACCTAAAATTTATATACTAAAAATACACATGATCATCCGTCTCAAAAAAAAACATTTTTCGTGCCAAAAGATCTTAACCACCTAAAACTTATGTTCTGAATTCCTCTTAAAAAGTATATATTTTTAAAAACTCTTATCTATATCTATATTACATTATTAAGAAAGAGTTCAGTGGTGGACATTTCTCTGTTAGTTAAACTTCATTGGTTTCGGTTTAGTTTTATGGTTTTTTATTTAGCTTCGATTTCATGGTTTCGATTTATTTCGTAGTTATTAGTACAATTTTTTATTCTTGATTTGGTTAAAATTATGCAAAAAACTTGAAAATAACCACTTGATTTCTTTTCCAACATTTTTTTTTCTTTTAATAAGAAAACAATTACCTACTTTAGTATTTTGTAGTTATGTTGACAGGAAAAAGGGTGAGGTGCTTCAATACCTAACATAGTGCGTTCTACATAGAGCTAAAGGGGTACATAGATTATAGTTTCTAGAGAGAGATAAAAAATTAAGTAATATGTCCAATTGAGTGAAGATTAACAAGTCCATGTTATAACAAAGTTGTTGAAAAACTTGAGGGAAGAGATGGACCCACTCCTAGGATTAGGGGTAGTGTCTTGAGACTGTCGATTGCAAAGATCAGGCGTTTACCAGAACTATGAGAACTCTGCAAATTTCTATATATTTATCTATAGTCATGAAACTCTTCTTAAAGAGGGATGGAGGAGGTCGGTCTCCAATGTTCGGCTTCCTCCTGAAATCTCCGAGAAAATGTGGCTCTATAATCTTAAGAAGTGAGTGGTTACTTTCTAGCCATTAGATAACGACACTTTCTCTCTTTAAGAAGCCTCCATTTTTTAGTAATAAGCATTAAATTATAAGAGAGAGAAATATTGGACGTTTAATGGCCCCATGACCACACACACGTACCAACATCTCCCACTTGGTCATGAGGGCTAGATATATTGAAATATCGTAGAGTCTTTACCACTTAATGAATTTAACATTTATGTGCATATTTTTGTCATGAGGCTTTCATGCAAGTGCGGTTATACATCTCATAACAAAAAATATCCAAAGCTATTTCATGGTTTTTCACGCTAATGTGGTTTTTCCTCTCATGATCAAGACATCAAAAAATATCCCATTTGGGAGTTCCTAACTTAAATATTTCTAAGTCTAGCTTTGATAATATTTCTGCACTCAATCACTTTGTTAAAGGGGTTTGCAATCATATCTGAAGATGGCAAATAACTTGCAATTATTTCATTCTTTTCAATAATATCATAAATATAATGAAAATCAATTTCAATATGCTTACCCTTTGAACTATAAGCTCAATTTCAAATTGATGGAATAACAGCTTGATTAGAACAAAAAAAATTAACAGGTCCGTCGACTATATCCAGCTTTAAATCATTTATAAAGTGTTTAATCCTGACGACAAAAGTTGTAACAATGCTACAAGCAATATACTCGGCTTCCATAATATACCGAGCTACACAACCTTGTTTCTTACTAGACCAAGAAACATATCCACCTCCAAAGATGAATACAATTCTTGAGGTTGATTTTTTATCATCTAGGTTTCTTGTAAAATCTGCATCAGAGTACTCAGTAACCTCTAAGTTGTCAGCTTGGAAGCACAACTTGTAATTTTTAGTTTTTTGAATATATCTGAGTATCCTTTTTACAGCTTGTCAATGAGCCATCTTATAATTACTCTGAAATCTACTTATAACACCATATGCATGGCTCAAATCACGTCTTGTACATAACATGGCATAATTTATGCATCTATAGCTTGAGCATATGAAATTCTTTTCATTTCAGCTTTGTCACTATCATTTAATAGACACATTTTCTTTGATAATTTGAAGCCTTTACAAACAGGTGTATCTATGGGCTTGTAATTTTCCATCTTAAATATCTTTAAAACACTTTCTAAATAATTTTTTTGAGATAAACATAGAAGTCTTAAAATTTTATCTCTTGTTATCTTAATGCCCAATACATATGAGGCTTCTCCCATAACTTTCATCTCAAAATGGGAACTTAGTC